CCCCCCCCCCCCCGACCTATGTGCATCCATCACACGAACCACCCAACACAAAAAGCGCTGCTGCGGGCGTCGGAGGGACCTCTCCTGGCCATCACCGCGCGCTCGAAGTGACCGAGGACACCCCCCCCACGTTGCCATCCGCCACGCCGCCCCCCAGCTTCACCAGCAGCTTCCACTGGCGCGACGAGGACGACTCGGACTCCTATTCCTTCTCGTACTCGTTTGATGGAGGAGGAGGCGGCGGCGGTGGCGGTGGCGGTGGCGGTGGCGGCGGCGGTGGCGGTGGCGGCGGCGGCGGCGGCGGCGGCGGTGGCGGTGGTGGTGGCGGCGGCGATGGCGGCGGCGGCGATGGCGGAGGGAGCAGGGGGGGTGGTGGCACCGGCGACGACGCTGGCGACACCGCTGTTCTTTCCAACACCGAGAGCTCGCTCGTGGAGGACGACGGGAGGGGCGTCAGCACGGTCCTGTTGGTTGTCCTGGCCTTGTTCGCCGCTGGGGCCGCGTGGCTGCTGTACCGCACTTGGGCCAAGAGGCGCACGGCCTGGCGCCGGTTGGGCGACGAGGCGCTGCTGCCGTAACTCGAGGGGATGATGACTAGGCCCATGGCTTTCATTGAATACTCGAAGGAGGATCATGTTTGCTGGTTGTTCTCCAGCGATCTATTGCACAAGAGTGGTGACGGGCGTCAAGAACTCCGGGTAGCTAGCTCTATTTGATTCATACAGCAGTCGTATGTGGAGGGGGCTAAACAGACAGAGGCGCGCGTGTTTCCGCCGTGCTGTTTTCTACCCTCTAAATTGTCTCTTTTTTGCGTATGTACGATTGGTGAGTGGCTTCTTATTTGTGTTTTCTATCTCTCGAGTGGTGTATTCTAACTAAATTTTGTCGGAAGGCAGCCAGCCGTACATGCCATTGTCAATGTTGGCTTGTCTACGGCCACCGCTGTGTCGGCGGGAGAAAATTTGTTCTGAAATAGCGAGATGAGCCGACGGCATTCTTCGGCGGGACCTCGTCAGGCTTAATTACGGCATACGTTTGTGTTTTTTTTGTTTTTGTTCGAAGTGTTGACCCTAGCACACCACCACTTGATAATCAATCCCTTGCGTTACATCTGTGCCTCGTGAGGTGTTCGGGGAGAGATTTATTTTGTCTCCGTGTTGACAGCGGATGAAGGTTGCTCAGCTCGCTCTCTGTCCTCATGAAAAGTTGTGGGTGTAGTTGCAACGGGTGGTAGGTAGTGTGAGCCGCGTATGCCCTGGGGCTGATAAGCGGAGGAACGGCTATTTTGGTTAGCCACGGGTGTTTTGGTAGAATTTCCGTCTGTCGGGACTTTTTTCTCAGGGACTCGACAGTTTGATAACCGCGTTGTGGATCATCGGCGGCGTGTTTTCGTCGACACGGAGGCAGGCAGGCAGGTTGCAAATTCCGTTCGTGGTGTGCACGGGAATCTTGTGCAAGTTTTGACACAATAATCAATTTTTGTTAAATAATATCTTTTCACGCACGCACGCGTAGAGGCGTGCGTCCTCTTGCTTTATGTTGAGCTTTTCTCTCCGCAGTCGCGCGCAACGCCAAAACAGCAGACCAAGCGCCCCGCTTGTGTCGCTATTGATGTATGGATGCCCCATCACGCACGTAAGTCAAAGAAAAAACCTTCACCAGGCTCTGTCGGGGGGATGGGGCTCACCCGTTGGTTGGTTGATGTTCGTCATGTATCCACAATAGCAGTAGTAGCAAGCTCTCTTGATATTTGCATCACGGCTGATTCCTTCTCCAAACGAACAAAACTCCGACAGGCATCCTCGCACGCCAACCCGCTGCAGCCACCCGGGGCTTGCGCAAGCTTTCCAGCGACTGCTCATGTTTTACCCCTCGAGCACATAATTCCATTCCCAGCAACGCCAAAACGGTTTCTTGTCACGGCACGCTACGGTGCAAAAAAGGGGTGGTGGGACAAAACGCGGGTGGAAAGAGAAGTAAGGTGCACTACATGGCACGGCGTCCCAACACTACAAACCCAACCACCCCGCTCACCCTTGCCCCCCTCTGTCATCGGCTTTCGGCAACTGCTGACTAGATGATGTCTTGTTCCATGAACGCCTACACAACAACAGCAACAACGCGATTGCACCGCACCACACTCTTTAACGCCAAGAATGTCCTCCGGAAAATGTCGGTCACACACGGATGCGACACCAGCAGGAGGAGGTACTGTACGCGACCAAAAAAACGAAACACAGGGAACATCGTTCAAAGGGCGAAAAGCGCCGTCCCCTCCCGCCTCGAGAGGCGCACGTACCACCGCAACAACGACTTGCTTTCTACGCCCGCGCCAAAAGCCGCAACCAACCGCACTTCTAACCAACCGCACTTCTTAGTCCAGACAGGGGCGGCGCACAGCCCGTAGTGACCTGTATTCGAACCACGACCCTAACAGCAGCGGCGCCAGCTCAAAAGTGCCTTCCTCGCGTCTGCATGCTGCAAAAAAGTTGTCTTGTCTTACGCTCGTCGCGCGGGGGCGCATCATCACGTAGTAGTAGCCACCTCTGCTGCGGCGGGGGTGGCAGCGCTCTTTGCCGCAGCACCGCCGCCGCCGCCGCCGCCTTTGACGTCAGGAGCAACGAACCCCCCGTCGAGGGCTACCTGGTCGACTCCTATCTTCTCTATGAACGCCAGGATCTCTTCGACCTCCGCCAGCGGCGGTAGCTCTCCCTTAAAGAGCACAACACACAAGCATGACACAAACGTACATGCGACGCACGGGCGCGCGGGCAGCGGCGGCGGTGACAGAGCGGGTTGCCACGCACGTCAAAAACCAGGCAAGTTTGTGGCCTCAACGCTCCAACAAGGCATGAACTTCTTTTTATTGTCATCGTTTTTTTTTTTTTTTTTTTTTTTTTTTTTTTTTTTTTTTTTTTTTTTTTTTTTTTTTTTTTTTTTTTTTTTTTTTTTTTTTTTTTCTGGGCGTGTCCCAACGAAAAGAACAAAGTCCACCGTGGCGAAAGCTGCGGCTCAGCCAGGCCGAGCGGGGTTAACACACAGCCATACAGAGCGCGCCACCTTAACAACTTTGGAAATCACACTAATTCGGGCGTACGAAAAGAGAAATACGTAAAACACTGAGTTCTCCAGCTAGACTGTGGTTTGCCAAACAAAAAACGGAATCGTAACTCCTCCACACACCCATGTAGACCGTCGATGTGGTGAGCCCTTACTCCCAAGAACACGCGCCTTATGCACGGACAGACGTCCCGGAGAAACTTATTACATGCTTCCTGTCTATTGGACCCGCAAGGCATGAACCCAACCAAAATTGTCGCATCCCACCGCCATCCGTGTGCCTGCGCACAAACCGACCCTCCGGTGGTGGGGACACACATTTATCAGCGAGAGCCAGAAACCTCGGAGTATTATCTGTTTCATGGGACCCGTCCATCGAGAACTAAAATAGGAACAAAAAGTCTCGCCTTCTTTTTCACATTTCTACAAGAGCAAGGTTAGATCTTCCCCATGACGTGTGTCCCAATATACATCAACTTGAAAACATGTGAAAAATACTCCTTACAATTTGGTTAAACGGGGGAAGGCATAGACTGTTTCGACATGATCTTTTTCTTGAGCATCGGTGACGATAGGTTGCAATTGACTCTTTATCTGTGGAGAGGAGATGAATCTGTTGTGTCACAAAAAAAAAAAAAGGTCTACCGTATTGCGCCGCACCTTGTTCATGCGCTCGACCACCCCTCGCTGTATGGCGGAGACCTTGTTTCCTGGGAGCAGCCGGAACTTGCAGATGATTCCCGTGGCGATGCTCTTTGGAAGCAAATCCTTGTACCTGTTTCATTTTCGCCAACCAACAGGATAGGTCAAGGTTATGTAGGCAGTGAGGTAGAGCGGAACAAATAAACCACCACAGCCCGGGAAGAAAAAAACGGGAGACAGGGGGGAGAAAGTACCACCAAAACGAGAGACAACTGCAGTTGCCGCTTGCCTTTTCAAATAGCAAATAACCAGTGTAGTTTAATTGTAGACGAACACGTAGTACTCGCAGTCTCTTTCGTTCTTCGCACACACAAGCAACGCGATCACATCATCTATCGCCCATCGCCCCTCACTTGGTGGAACCCCTCTCCTTGGCCAGCACCCGGAACTTGTTGTACTTCTCCTCCGCCCGCCGCTCGCTCTCCGAGATCTCCGAAAGGTTCTCCGCGATGGCCTTCAGCAACGGCTCCTCCTGCTGCTGCCCCACGAAGAACTTCTCCACGGCCTCGAGGAACAGTTTCGCTGCCATAGACAAGCAGTTTTATTTTTGCCCCCCCCGGCACGTAATGAAACCGCGTGAATATAGGAGGAGCACAGGAGCCTCCGATGAGGTTTTGTTGGTGCGACGGTTGTTGAGAAACAGCGGGGCAGACCGCCACCAACGCCACCAACAACACTACCCCTAGTCTTTCCCTCCCGCCCTGGACCCGCGAGGACACTACCATTTAATTATGAAATAGAGGAGGGGATTTCGTGAGTCTTAACCCTAACCCCCCACCCCCATACTAAAACCCAGCTTATCATCCTCGCTAAGGCTGCTACCCGCCCACCCAAACCCGTCATCCTTACCAGTGCCCCTTGTCTCCCACGCGTCCGCCACGGCGGGAAGGATGTGCTCGTAGCTCCATCGCTCCGCCTCCCTCAGCTGCTCCCGTGTGAGCAGGGTCTGAAGCCGCCCGGTGGTCTTCATCGCGTTGCCCTCCTTGCTGTCGCCCCACACGGCAAGCGTCCCGCCGATGCTGCCCAGGTCTCGCGGGTCCAGCACGAGGGCGTTCGTATGTCGCGTGAAGGCCTTACGGGAAGAGGCGGGGCGGTTGGCGTTGATAAAAAAAAAGAATCGATTTCGGCAAGCTCGTTGATTGTGATGGAAGCAAAGCGTAAAATTCTTCGAAAAATCAAGCGGGACGTGGAGGCGGGGTGGGGAGGGGGTCGGTGTTGGATTTAACTTAAGGATAGATTTCGGCAAAATCCCTGATTATGCTATGAACCAAGCCGCACCAATCGCGCCAAAGAAGTGATTTAAAGAAGATGGTACACGGGAGGCACCGCAGATAAGAAGAAAAATAATACCCTCCCCTCACAGCAGCAACCCACCTGGGACTCCAGCACGAGACCCTCGGCTGGCGCAAGGGGCACCCTCAGCTTGTACGGGGTCTTCAAGGCCGCTTCCACGAATCCCGACCACAGGTCACCCCTCGCCTCCCCGAGTGCCCCGCCGATCATCAGCCGGATTTGATTCTACGACACAGAGGCGGGCAGCATACACACAAACGCACGCGCGCGAGAATGCCGGCGCAGCCACCGTGAGCGAGGGGCATCGGAGAGTGGCCATACGGTGGAGGTGTAGCGGTGGGTAGGGGATGCGCCTGTAAACCATCCACATTTTGACTGGAGAATCTGAGGTATGCGAAAGGGGTGAGGTCGCAAGCGAGAGCTACGCTGCTGCTACGTGAAACAACGACCACTTGCACGCGTGCACAAAAGTCGCGAATACTTCCAACGTATGAGGTCACCCTAGCTACCGGCAAGCTGGCGCTCGCGACGTCAACGAAACGATACACGCACACAAGCACGCGGTGAATGCACGGGACCACAGATGTCAGCAACAACACAACCGCACCAGTGCCGGACCCGCGAATCTGCCCCGGAAGCCTACACGGTCACACGCATACAACACACAAGTAGAACCGAACACAGAGAAGCGCTGTCAAAGCAAGCGCGCGGATGGAAGCAAAAGAGCGAAGTGCGAAGCTGCTAGAGAGGGACCTCGACCTGCTCACGTAAACAAAGGCCTTGCCACGGATGTCTATCCGCACGAACTCGTCCGGGGTGTCCTGCCCAGGCCGCGTGTAGCTCACGACGCCGTCCAGCGCCTCGCAGCGGTAAATGCTACGCGCCACACGAAAAGACAGAGAAAGAGAAAGACAGAAAAAGAGAATGAGGGAGCCACACACGTACACTGTTCATTCGTCAGAAGGCTAGCGCAGCCGATGCTTGTAGCAACATCAATACAAGAACACGTATACCCTTAACAATCAACACGGATGCACGACGTGTCAGCCCATTTAGCATAGTGGATGCCGGAAAATACACGCACGACTAGACACAGCGCGCACAAGAGAGCAAGCACTTCATAGCGAGAGCGAAGTGAGCGAGAAACATGGAGGTCTTTTCGGACAAATCCACGCTCGACCCTCACCATCCGGCAGGGTCCAACTCTGTGCATCAAAAAACCGACAACGACTGGAAACCAGTATAGAAAATTAGCATCTTCAAAGAGGACACACACCTGAGGGACAGCATGCCCAAGCTCTTCGTGCACGGTAGGGATGAACTAAAAGAACTGAAGTTGTTTGTGGACCGGGAAAACACCCTTGAAACCTGTTGTTTCCCTTATTTCTTCCGACACACGTCTGTCTCACTTTTGGCCCTCCGCCGCTGTGACTTTCCCGACTAAACACCGCCGAGACGGTACACAAGACACACGTCACCGGGGAGCGCTGAACACACGCCAAAGAAGACTCGTCGCATACTATGTCGTGTGCCATCTGCCTCTACACGGTGGCACAGCGGTACTGTACCCACCCTCGGGCACCCGGTGCCTTGAGCATCAACACACAGGAACGCGATGTGCCAAACACTGCCAGAGGACACACGCACGAAGCACATGCACCACTATTACCACGAGAGAGCGCTCTCGAACTGTCTGAAACGCCGGGAACACCTCTGAGTGCCGCTAGATATAGAAACTTTGGACTCCCTTCTGGAACAACAACAACAACAACAGTGCAGCGCCGACGAAAGAAACGGGGAGCACCTTGTTCTCAGCTCTCGGAGCAAAATCTGCTTCTCCGGTCCCTCATCCTCACCCCCCACCCCTTCCGCCTCCTGAGCCCCCGGCGCCGACACGACGCTGGCAGCGTCCCCCCCCGCCTCTGTCTCTCCTACGTCGGACTTCACTACCACCCCCTCGGCACCCGCCGCCCTGCCAGCGCTCGCAACATCCTTCGGCGTCACCACGGCAGCCACCGCCGCCACTGAGCCAGCATCGGCAGTGCCAACGGCATCCCCGGACGTGCCCCCTTCTACACTCCGCGGCGAAGCGCTCTCCGGCCCCTCGTCGCCGCCTGCTTGCTGCTCAGCCCCAGCTACCGCTACTACCGGCGGCTCCGCCGCCGCTGCCGCCCCCACGCTCTCCTCGGGCGCGGCACCGGCCGCCGACTGCTTGCCGAACCAGGCGTCGTCCGCCTTCTGATCGGCGGTCGATTTCTTCTTGTAGCGGTACGTGCGCCACTCGTCCTTGGACACCCACCGCCGTTTCTTGCTGCCGCTTTCCCCGGCGTCGCCGCCACCGGCGGTGGCGGCTTCTTCTTCCGAGCCAGGGGCTGACGTAGAAGCAGTTCCACCCGCTTCTTGCGCTGGCTTCCCGCCGGACTTCTTGAGGTCGATCGAGGCCTTGACCCTCTTGCGGACCTCCTTCAGCTGCCGCCCCTTGGTGCTGGCGTAGTTGTGGAAGCTGTGCGTGCCCACGAAGAGCTTGAGGAGCTCGCGGAACTTGCCCAGGGATCCGTCGTCAGGCAGGAGCTCCCTCGGCAGGTAGTACGTGTACTCCCTGCAAAGCAGAAGGGCGTGCGAGAAAGGCGGGCAGGCCAAACACAAAGCACCCAACAGCAACATCGACAGGAAATCAGAACCGTGGTTGCGGCAACAACAACATCTATCGGGCAGCAAAGTCGAGAAACGTACTCCGTATGAAGAACAGCAGCAAAAAAAGTACCACACGCATGCAATACATCCATGAACGCACGGAAGCAAAAAGCACGCGCGTGGTGCGCGTTGTTGCCACTGTATCGACCCCTCACGGGATGCCCGCCTGATCCTCCTAGATCATATACCTCAGCGTGCACTCCTCCCTCCCCCTGAAGGACTTGGGCACTTTGGAGACGCTGAAGCACCGGATGTCGTCGGGGAGGTTCTCGTTGAGCTTGTCCTTGCCGTACTGCGACATGCCCGCCGCTGTGAAGGTCTCCTGGGGTAGGAGAAGCTTCGCCGCCGCCACGGTCTTGGACGCGTGCACTCCCTTGTCCGTACGGCTTGTCCTGTTGTGGTCGACATTGTGCATGGTGGCAGGAGTGCGGTCGTGGTGGTGAAGAGAGGCCAAAGAAGCCTGGTCTAAGTTGTTGCGCTACTGCTGAGGGATATGCCGTGACGACGATGAGGGGCTTGTGTGCGACTACTCACTCAGCGAGGAATGGCACCAGTGACATTGGAGGTACCAGAAAAATTCAAATGGTCGGTATTTACGTAGCCCGTACACATGCATAGGATAAACCCTTTTTCCCACCAAACGCAAACACAATCGGACATGGCGATGTATGCGACTCACAACCTCGTTCTTCTTCAAGCCTACAACGAGGGTAGGCGCTCGTTTCGTTGCCAGCTCGCAAAGCTTGCTCTTGGCGGAGCGTGGAAAGATGGTCACCGGGCATTGACTCACACCGTTCGGGCCAGCGATTCGCTGCTGGGAGGCGGTGTGTAGAGGCGGTACGGTCAATTCTCGATCCCGCTCTCAATGACAGCATGTATCGTCGGCAGATGTTCCGCAAGCAACACAACCCGACCCACCACAACGAAAAAGACGCAACCGACACCATGATGGGAATACGCCCAAGCAGCAATATGGCAACATACCCACTCCGTCGTGTACACGTACAAGTAGTCTGCTCGAACGCGGTGAATAAAGCGCGGCGGTGCAATTCAACTTTTGAGCCTGCCGCTTGAAGAGAGCAAGAGAGACAGAGATTTAGCTCACCTCCCCCAACCAATCTTGTTCAGGTCGCCGTAGTTGCTGTCGGCGATGGCACCCGCCTTCCACAGTGCGGTTTCGAGCTCGCCCTCGACGGTTCGCACGTTCTGCGCATCGGTGGATTGCTGCCAACCGTGGAACGCGGTCCCGACATATCCCACCACTATGGCAACCTTTCTCTTCGTCGGCTTGCTCAGCTCGTTGCCGTCAGCGTCGTAGAGCGTGGGCGGTGGCGGCGCCGGTGGAAGCTCCGGCCCGATCATCGGCGCTCTCGGCTTCCTAACTCCCGTCAACGATGTGCCGCCGCGCTTGCTGCCGCTGCTGCAGCGGTTCAGCGGTAGTATCGAGAGACCTGCGGATTGAAGTTGTCGGTGTCTCTGCTGGGAAAATCTGGAGAGCATACAACTCGGCGCGACGTAGGCGTAGCCACGAACAAAGCATCGGCCGACCAGCAGCGTCTTGATCGCGATGAAGCGGGTGGCGCGGCCGTACAAGGTCATGGGGTGGTTGGTGGGAGGAGAGACATGCAAGTCAATCCATCACATGATCTTCGGAGGGCTACCCTGTTGTAACCAATCTGCGAACCCCCCGCCCTTGTCTGCCGGTCGCTCTCAGCAATCCAGCTTGCACGACGGATAAACCAAACCATCACGTGCCACACCGGCACTTGATGGCCTGAGCGCGATGCCGAACTGGCTGGCGTCGGAGCTATGCATGGTGGCATCCTTTTCCCTGGGAGCTTGGAAGGTGAGAATCGAACAGCACCAGCAGGATCGGTAGGTCTGCCCCCCCCCTCTTGTCCATCATTCAAAACCGTTGGGATCTGTTCACGTCATCTCGTGCCCCCGCTGTTCCCCCGATCTGACCTGCCTTTGCCCTGCGCTGCGCACAGACCTTCAAGGTGCTCAAGCACGGCGGAACCGACTATAACCTTCTCAAGACTTGGTGCCTGCTGGGTCTATTGCGAGCGTTTGAGGAGTATTTTGAGGTACGGAGCAAAGAGGGAGATCAATCTGTCTTTTTGGTCGGTTCGCAGTTTCCCTTCACACCGCGCGGCCAGCGTCGTTCAGTCTTTCTGAGTCTCATGCTTGGTGGGCCCAGTCATCGCCCCGTCCTACCTCGCTGTCAGTCACTTCAACCCAGCGTCACTCCTCTGACTTCTGCGTATCCCTGCTGTTTAGAGCGCGATCACGTGCCAGAGAGGAAGCTGGACGAGATCCCTCCTCGAGGGTAACATTTACGATAACGACAGGACACGTTTCTGAGCCGACTACGTAATCTACAGGCAGCTGCTGTTTAGCCGTTCAGGGTGCACAAGGCAACCACCACGCCAGCAACCTTCGGGTGTCGGATGTTTCTACCTATGCTACCTACAAGCAAGTCTTGCAGCGCCCATAGCTTGTATCGACGAAGGGATTTTGATCGGGTAGTCTTTCTGTGTTTGTATACTTTGTAGAGAGGGATATTGATTTCGTTTACGAGTTAGTAGAAGTTCCACGGAGAGCCCGCCGCTTTGATGCGCAACCGTTTGTGAAGGTCACGCGATATCCATGGCATGGCATCGTGAGTGTGCACCTCGCGGCAGCACCATCTGTGGGTTTCACAGCCGTAGCACATCTGCGTGCAAACGAACGGCATGCCACCTATGTAGTTTATTCCCCAGGGATGTTGTATTGTACTGCTGTTTACTTTTGGTGGTACTCCAAATCTCTTGCCAGGGCTGTTACCAGTTTTTTCCGCGGCTCCACGGCCATGCTTTCGTTGCGAATCGCCAGAAAATTGTACCCCCAGCCTACAGGGGGTTCAAAGCAAAAGGGCAAAATGTCCCACTTCTCCGTCGCTAACCTCAGACCTCTCCCCCCCCCCCCCCCC